TACATGTACTGTTATCCTGAAGAGGTTTAGTTGTGTGGCAACACACTGTTAAAACAGATGTCAGTGATGTTAAATGAAAAATCTGGAAATAAAAAAAAAAAGGGCAACTGAACAAGTGGCTGAATCAGACAGAACATGCTGAAAAAGCCAACATCAAACCACCGAGAGGCTGTGATGGAAAATCTGTTCTGTTGCTTTAGGTACAAACTGAGATGTTTGCACAGAAGGCTTTTAAACACGATGAAAGAAGAGTTAATAAAGACACTGTGGCTGTTATTTGGTGTATACTAAGAGACAGTTGCACAGATCTGTGACAACAGTCCCAGTGGACATGAAACACTCAGTAAAATCTCTCTTTTCTGATTATCTACAATCGCAAGGAAATCAGTTTTCCTTGGGAGCATCTCTTCTTATTGCATGAACTTCAGAAACATGACTCACTGTACTACACCTCAAAATGCAAGTTGGTTCTTCAACGACAACAAATACGTGGAGGAGGTGGCACGGGCTTATGGGTTCTACTTATTCAAAGCCACAGGTTCTACAAATTAATGCTTGCAACTGCAGCTCAGAGCTCTTAATCACCTTTGTTTTAAGCAGGCTTTTGTGTGAAAGTATTGATTTTTTTCATGAATAAGCTGCAGCTGCATGCTTTATTATTAATCTTTTCTTTATGAAAGATCCCAATTTCCTGAAAAAAAGAATAACTCCCCAGTTTATTGTTATAATACCACAAGAATAACACTGAACCCTAATTGACACCTAATTGTTAACCCACTGTTAACATTACAGGTTGACGTTATTTAAAAAAACCCAACAAGAATTAGGATAGACAGAATTTAAGAGCTGTAGACCAAGAACACCCTAAGTTTTCTTTTTGTTGAGCTTATTGAATAGTTGTTGGCATTTTCCAACTTACTTGTCTACAAGCGTCCTGATGACAGCCAGCGTGTCCAGCACCAGGCCATCTACATTCTGCTTTTTCCGTCTCGGCTCATGAGGCCCTCGACCTCGACGAGGTGGCCTGACCGGGTCCCTGGGCCGACTGCTCCGAGCCTCTGCGGCGTCAGCACCCACACCTGCACTGTGATCCACCCGCCTAGCTTGTCCTCGGGTTGCTCTCGATGAACCATGATGTTGGTCCTCCAAGTCACTATCTTCTCGACATACACAGCTATTACCCATGGTTCCAGAGTTGGAGACCAAACTGGCAAGTGTTTCCCAGAATGGATGAAGGGACTTTGAGGAAGAGAGGAAGAGCAGAACCTGTACAAGGCTCCTGCAGGCACAGAAAGTAATCCAGGTGGCTACTATCATATCATTTGGAGAGCTTGGTTTTGGGGGGTTCTTGTCCCTGTGGGCTGGGTGGGGCCAGTGCAAAAGACCATACTGTTGCCAAGCAGAGACTTGTGTGGGACTAGTGATAAATGGCTACTAAAATGAACCAGAAAAGGTCTGGTGATGCAGCCAGGAAAGCTCGGAACATCACAGGCAACCAAAGGCTTCAGTCAACCTCTCATCCAGGACTGGATGGATCGCTGTGAAGGCAACACAAACACAAAACAGAAAGCATTTAGCTCAGCTGCTTACTCAATCTGTCAGTGCCGCCAGCAGCAAATATTTAGACTTGCGGAAACGACACACCCCGTACGATAAATGTCAGCAGATTACAGAAGTTAATTATTGAAATTAAACATGACTCCCCTTTCTCTCAAACAAAAGCGCCACTAAACGACTTTCAGTTGTTTCAATCTACAGCTGTGCTGCTCAATTAAAAAGGCACAGTGTATCACACGGAGCAACTAAACGATGACACATTTTAGTATTGTTGACAAACAAGAGCTTTTCAGTTAGCTGACTTGCAAGCTAGCCACCCACAAAGCAAGCAGTTGTCACGTTAAAAAGGAAACTCAAGTTTCCCGAACTTGTTCTTATCATTAAAAGCCACAATGGTTCCATTTTGAACTAAAGACATACTTACGGTGCTATCTTGTAAAACAAACACCATTCGAAGCGCAGTCGAGCCAGACCAAAGTAGTTAACAAACCAGAAGGCTAACAAGGTAGCTGCGTTGTGTATGAGCTAGCCTCCGAGCTGTTAGCTTCGATTGCTGGACCCTCCTCCGATTCTCCCGTCGGACTACACAAGTTAGGTAACGAGAGGAACAACAAGCTGAGCGTGGTACTCGGGTATCAGGACACATTTACACCACCCGTCTATATTCCGCCGTAACACACCTTCGCTGAAGTAAAACAGCAACACGGTCATAGCGTACACATTTTAAACGACGCTACTAAGGAGCGCTAGCTGGTCGCTAAGTTCCGTAGCGCTGCCAGCTAAAAGGTTGGTCATCGTCAGCTGTGGATGCGAAGGCGAGACTGGAGGAGAAGGGAGGATTTTTCTCTCTAATGTTACGTGAACATAGGAGTTCTGCCTGATGGTTTTACTTTTTCTCTTAATACATGTATGAGGAAATAAGAAATATATGAATTAATTTGTTAATTTTAAAAGGAAATTGATTGCGCAACAAAAAGTTCAAAGAATTAAAGAAATGGTATGCTACACATGAGTTCAGTACAGCAGAGGGGGACTATAAGACTAGTAACCTTTAAATTTGTACACATTTTATTCGTTCAGCCTGAAACATTTACTAAAGCGACCCCCCCCCCCTTCAAAAAAAAAAGAAAGAAAGATTTCTTTTTTTTACTCTCCGAAACATCAATTAAGGATATTTTATCTATTTAGTAATGCCAGATGGACTACCTATGTGTTTATAATTCATCTGAGGTTCAAAATAATATATACATATAATATTAACAGGTTAAGACAAATAAATCAAACGCCTAGGAAAACAAAAACATCAACACACATGCTAAACAGTGTCATTTAATTTCACACATGTGCAGATATTGAATACTGCAGTCGTTACATTTGAGATTTATGCTTTTTTTTTTCAAAAGACATGTCCTGCAAAGCAGTCACACACCCTGCTGCGGTCCAAGGATGTATTAAAGGAGTAGTTCCGATACATCCCGGTCTTCCTCAGCTCTTCGGTGAATCTTTGTGATTTGGGGTGGAAAGTGCACGGAGAGCTTTCAAAGGTTGGAGGGAGGCGACCATAGTCGGCGGATGTGGTCTTATACATGATGCTTTCGAGCTTTGTTCCCGCTGCAGACATCAGATCTTTTGCTTGTGGAGTAATCACGCAGGTAAAAACTGGGTTTCCAGGACTGGTTGATGTTTTGGCATCTTCTGCCTGCTGCTCTGGAGAAACAGGCATTGTTGATCTTCTATTAAAAAAGGAGGGGGAAACGATTTAGGAGATTATTTACACATTTACATGTGGACTCACTAATGGTCAATGGAGAGTTGCATATAGCGGGTATTAGTTTTACACGGATTTAAGATTATATATATATTTCAGTGATTACAGTTAAATTGTTTTCGAGCATAGAGCGGTCCAGCGATCTTTGTGATTCATGTCTATTCATTTCTTTTAACTTCACTATCTAGCGCTAAATTTCGCACCACTGGGTTTTTTTTATTTATTGACTGAAGCGTTTTTGTTTCCAAACTACGATGTGATTCATATAATTACCTTAGATTCGTGAACTCACCAAAATACACCGACTGGTCACGGGTTGAAGACAGAGAAACATGTGGTTACCATAGCAATGACGACCCAGGCGCTTGACCTCACATAATCTCACGAGACTTTCAAAGAAAGCGCGAGAGGACGGGGCTCCGACTCTTTTGTACTGAAAAAAAAAAGACTGTCATCAGCAGCTGGACATAGTTTAAAGAAATAATTACAGCTACTGACAGATATTGGCCCTGGCAAAAACAAACAAAAAACCCCAAAAAAAACTTAATAATTTGCCTATATTTCCGAACTTTGGTTAAAATCTACCCTAAAATATTTAATAGTATCCCCCAGCTCGCTATACTAATAATTAACATTCAAATATGAGCACTATTTTCCATCAGGTACCTTAAACACAGCACCACCTTATTCCTCTCTTCAAACATCTCCCTGAACTCATACAAGAGTCTCATATGTCAGATGTAATGCTGCTAACTGCCTCCTCTCAGACGTGCTCTGGACAGTCTCACAAGCAAACACTAATCAGAGTAAACCAAGTTATAACACAACAGAAAGAGGCCTGATTAGAAGACTGAGAAGAAGAAAAATATAGATTAGATGTGAAAAGCAGGTTTTTTTGCTTTGCTGTCAGAGATAAAAAATCAGGCAGTCTGGCGGTCAAATAAAGGAAGACATAAAAAACAACAATAACAAGAAACCAAAAGAAACCACAGTGTGTGGCCACTGTTTGATATTGCATGATCTTAAGTGCAAAATAATCATTGGAGAAAGAGTGACGGTATGTGTTGCTCACCAAAATATAGAACATACCACAACCCATGGGGCACTAAATAACCATAGACACACATGCATGCATGCATGTGGTAGAAGACAGATACATGAAACTCAACTAATCGTCACTTTAAATATGTGGGAGGGCTGTGACAAAGCAAGGACTTGAATGGTCACTGACCATTTTCTGCATACAGTTTTTGGGTCCCAATGATCAGTGAATCAGGTCATTTAGATAATACTCTAAAATAACTCCTGATGGGCTAAACTTGCCTTCAGGTGGCATACAAGGCTGTATACTGTGGAGCATAAATGCCACGTAGCAGTCTAAATGTTGCTCTTGTGTAAGTTCACATATTTGGACCAATGGCTGTACATAAACATACATATATACTGCATATAATGTACTGCATATATGCAATCTGTGGTTTCGAGAAATTGTATTGGATCTCCTGCTAGTAAAACTCGTCAATTCGTATTTTTCCACTGCACGTAAAGGCGCCATTCACTGCGTCATCAGCACGTGACAACTGGGTACGTAGAATTACTGCGACTGCTCTTCTCAAACAGCAACGGCGTTGTTCTCGGACGTAAATCTGGGGTCCTGTTGCTCCCCTGCTGTTGAGGTTAGTTGGCAGCCGGCTGTGTCTCGGCGGGAGGATGGACAGTGAAATCCAACGGGATGGGAGAGTCCTGGATCTCACCGATGATGCCTGGAGGGAAGACAGGCTGCCGTACGAAGACGTCACCATTCCTTTGGTAAATGTTAATGCTAAGGTTGACGTCAACAAGGACCAACGATTACAGGAAGCAGAAATGTTTTTGCAGGATGTTCCCGAGCAGTGCAGTTTATGAGAGGACACTCCATAATATCCAGCTTTTTACTTAATGCCAGTGACTTAGATTAGATAGCGCTTTACTAATCCCTCGGATGGGTTCAGTTTCCAGTAGCAGAGCACCGACAGAAGTTGCATATTACAGAGTTCGAGTATAAAATAGAGAAGAATGAGAGGATATGAACATAAGCTTAAATATACACGTGGTTTTGGGGGGGATTTTGCTTTGGTATACTTCTCTTTCCTGTTCTCGGTTTACAGAAGATGACATGCGCATGCTTGCCTGCTTTCTACTATATACACTCATTAGATACACCTTGCCTGGGTTAAAGCCTTCAGAACTTCTCTGATTTTTCATAGCGAAGATTCAACAAGATGCTGGAGACATTTCTGAGATGCTGAACCATGTTGACATGATAGCATCACGTTGCTGTTGATTTGGCCGTCCATGATCCAGATCTCCTACTTGCACTACATGTGCCGTGAACACATCGTGTACAAGAAACAGCAACATTTTTCCAGTCTTCTGTTCTCAAAGTTTCATGAGCCTGTGTGAATTGCGGCTTTAGTTTCCCGTTCTTAGTTGACCGGAGCAGCACCCTGTGTGGTCTTCTGCCGCCGTAGTCCATCTGCTTCATGTGCGTTCAAAGCTCTGCGTGCTTGGATTGCCTTCACCTTCCTATCAGCTTGAAACTGTCTGCACATTCTCCTCTGATCTCTAACATCAACAACACATTTTCACCCATTTGTATGTTACCTTAAACACAAGTTACGGTTTTGTGGGAAAATCCCAGCAGATCACCAGTTTCTGATGCTGGTTTGTTGCAGAGTGAGTTGCCTGAGGCTGAGCAGGACAACGGGGGATCGACAGAGTCTGTGAAAGAGCAAGAGATGAAGTGGACAGACCTCGCCCTGCAGAGCCTACATGAGAACACACCGAGCACCGGAAGCTGAAAGACTAACACAGAGTCGAACTGTACAAATAAAATGCACAGACGTGGTGCGCACTGTGTCGGTTTTGACACACAAATGTGCCGTATCTTCTCTGCGCATTGGCCTTTTACTTGGTGGTGAACTATCCATCAGTCTTATTGTAAAACATAAAAACATTGTTTATACTTTATGAAACCGTGATAAATGTGTTGCACATAGTCCTCCTGTTTGTGTGTGCATTTATTAAACCACGGCTCTTATTTCTGCAGCGTTATAACGAGGAGCCCTGGCTTTGAACAGATCTAGCCTCCTGAGTTTGTTACAAAATCATCTCACCTTTACCCATGCAGTAATACCAGAGTTATCTTGCAGGTAGTCTGGCCACTGGATGTCGCTGTACTATAAAAGCAGCCAAATTATTGGGGGAAAAGGTTTGCTCTTATGCTTAAACATGCTTAAAACACATCGATTCAACTTTCAGTTTTCTGCTACAGTTGTGTGTAACACCAAATCTGTGCTCGTTACATTCACACCAGTAGTACTACTTAACCCTAATGACACTGTTACTAACATACAGTGTGTTATTTTGCTATGCTTTATCATTTTCATCTTCTGCCTGGGTAGTATCTAGCTAGAGCATCTGCATATTTCGTACCGGCTGTCTCTTTCTTCTGCTTTAGACCATTGGCAGCATAATAGCCCGTTAATGTCCAGAAATGGCTCTCTGCTCTGAGCGTCCATCATCACTGTGTCTGTGCTGCTTCTGTCGTCAGCTTGCGAATCTGGTCACGGGGTCCCTTCCCCAGCAGCGCCGATGGGTGTCGGTACGAGCCTCCCAGGCGATCCCAGAGTGTGAAGTATTGTCCGTAATTGTAGTTGAAGTACAGGTGATGATCAACATGGTGAGCAGCGCCGTTAATCAGAAATATCAGCGGGCCTGGAAGGCGGTAGTCTCCATCGTGGATGGAAATGGTCCAGATGTTGACGAAGACAAAGAGGGAGAGGTAAACCACCTGTAGTTTAAAATAACTCATGTCAGCTGAAGCATTTCACAGTTTGAAGACAACGGTGCACTTTCTCAGTTTCAGTGTATCAACATCCACTTTGTCCAGTCACTTAGACGTTTACTGCAGTTTAATAGCAGTAACTTAATGCAGCCCTGATTTACAGCAGGGTTGTCAAACACCAGGCCTCGGGGGCCGATGTCCTGCAGGTTGTAGATCTCACCCTGGGTCAACACACCCGAATCACATGATTAGTTTTAATACCAGGCCTCTGGAGAACTTCAAGACATGTTGAGGAGGTCATTTAGCCATTTAAATCAGCTGTTATGGATCAAGGACACGTCTAAAACCTGCAGGATCCTCGAGACCTGGAGTTGCCAACCCCTGGTTTACAGCGTGGTCCTCTTTTGACCTCAGATCGGGCATGTCAGTATTTCCTAGCAACAGCAGATGATATGCACCTTGTGGAGAGGGAAGATGAAAGGGTAGATGTGGTACGGTAAGCTCTGCAGGAAGCCATCGAGTGGGTGGAAGGCATGGCTGGCAAACGGTGTTGGTATCTTGAAGGTATGGTGCTGCTTATGTAAGTGCTGAGGGGGAGAAACACAAATGGTGTCAAGTCTGAGATTTTCTTTTAATGAGAAGATACACAAGACAAACGAAGTCAAAGCTGTGGAGGTAAAATAACTATAAGAGTAAAAGAATATTCTACATGTTTCCTTCGGCTGCTCGGTGTTTTACTGTGTGCTAAACCGAGCCTGTAACCTGTTTGGTACAAACAACTGTGAGCATAAAAGTGCTGAAAGCCCAAAAGGTCATGCAATCATTGTTTCATTGGTACAGGTGGACCCTTTTATTATAGGAAGCCACCCACTGACAAAGGTAACTGACTGCCTGGGGCACGTGTAGTACAGATGCTGAAGCTCACCTTGTAAATGTTCTGATGGTGCATGGCGCGGTGAATCCAGTATATACACATGTCAGTAAAGAACAAGAAACCAGTGATGCTTACGAACAGTCGTGACCAGCCTGGAGCAGAGACATACATGAGTTTTCATTTTTGCAGACTCTTTGTGGGTTGGTTAGTTTCAGTGAGTTAATCACACGCAGCCTTAAAGTGGACACGCTCATTCACTTCATACTTGTCCTTAGTGCAGCCACTCGCCTCTCCCTGAAAAAAGCACTTTAAATCTCATCCCTTCACTTTAAGGCAGCTGTCTTTTGATTGGCTGCCTCTCAGAAGCACCCGATTGTGCTAAACACAGCTGTGCAGCTGAGATGACCATATGAGGGATATCTACTCACTTTTTATCTACTCACTATACCGTTGTTTACAGCGCTGTCTTCCTCTTTTTTCACTTAAATGACCTCGGACAAGAAAGCCTAATTTCTGTTGTTCAACACTGAAGAAATTTAAACTTCTTAAAATTATGCAAAATTACAGAACATTGTAGAATATTTTTAAGGTTATCTGCTATAAAAAGCCAGACCAGGAAAATCTCCTTCATGTTTTTCTGTGTTTTATCCTCAGTTACTTTCACACAAAGGCATCTGCTGTGATGTTCACAATTCTGATGAAGTCTCACATGTATCAGTACTGATAAATGATCAGAATTATATTTTTTTTGCTGTCTGAGGCTAAATTGAATCGAATCAGGACTTTGAGAACCGGAATTGAATGGATTATAGAAATCAGTGATGATACCCAGCCCTAGTGAGCAGCCTAGGCCTGAGAGAAGTGGATGTAGCTGTAATAGGAAAAGATGAAAAGAACTATTGATAACTTTTTTGTTAAGTTAAGGCCTGATCTGTCTGAAATTCATAGCCAGCTCTGACACGGTGCCATCAATATTTGAATGCTGAAAAAGCACAGTGTATCCAGGAAACACATTATATGCTGCAATAAATGCCCAAGTGTCCCCTCTGCCCACGGCCTTTCAGCAGCAGACAGCAGCAAACAGGTCGTCAGAGGAGCCGAGATGATGATTAAGTTTAACATTTTCTACAATATTGACAAAGCACTTTAAGCACAAGTTTGTTAGTTAATAATTTAGAAATTAATATTGTCTGTATGGACTTCCCCCCCCAAAGAAAGTGCACATGTAAAACTGCGGTGTTAAGCGATGCGGTTGAAAAATCTGAGTGCGCCTAACTTTTGTGCCGGTGCGCCCATGGCAAAAGGTTAGTCTAGAGCCCTGATATATATGCCTGCATATGTTGTGCTATTCTTGTGTATTGTCTGTCTCTTTTACTGTTTGTTTATAATGGAGCACTGTAATGACAAATAATTTTCCCCAGGGATCAATAAAGTATTCTGATTTGAGCCTTTAGCCATATTTACTATAAGCATTTTAACAGTACATTCATTAAATACAGTAGGCTCACTTTGAGAATCTCATTTTTAGTTTTACATTAACTGGAGTGAACATGAATCGTGTGCTATAATATGTAAATAACCGTTTTCTCACCCAGGGAGTTTTCACTGATGCTGTCATGAAGTTTGCTGTGTCCTCTGACTTCCCAGAAGAAAAGCACCACGGTGGGAAAACTCATCCAGAAGATGGAGACTGTTCCCAGCTGGATCTCCTTTCTTACTTGATGCTGTTAGTGAAGCAAATGCACAAAGTTGGGGTTTAGGACAACCTTGGTTTGGAAATGGTACCAAAGCTGGCTATCCATCCACTGGCCTACCTCAATAAACTGCGGATGCTTCATGAGCACATGGTCAAACACATAGTAGAAATTAAGAGCACCAAAAACCAGGTAAACCAGCAGAGCTCCCACGTTGGTTACCACCCACAGGCTGATAATCTGGCGCACAGCCCAGCTCTCAGGCCATGAGACCGGGTAAATGTAAGGAGTGAAGAAGTAACAGTCAGCTATGTCCAGCACATGATCCATGGCAGCCTGTGAAGACAGTAAATGATGTCCCGTAGTGCTCTTAGCATACATGAGAGAAAACAAACCAATCACAGCCCGCTTTGCTAAAATTAGGTGGAGTGGAAACGTTATTATGTTTTAGCGAGAATTGAATAGCCTAAGCTCTGTGGTGTGCACAGCACACACTCAGGGCTGCTTCAGCCAGAGCTTTGAAACTGGATAATCTGTATTGTTGCTACTCTGTCAGAGAGCACATGTACACATTTCACATTTAAGTGCATGAAATACTGCGAAAGGAGCAACAATAATAAGACAGTGAAATATAAGTTTGTGCTGGTACAAAATCCAACACTGCCCCTGCGAGGCCGATGCATAAAACACTCAGCTGTTCACTTTTAAATCTTTTATTTGAACTTTTTAGTTACGTACCTGCTCCCCGCGTCCCTGCATGACTACAGAAGTTCTCGAGCTTGTTTCTATAGTAATCGAAAAGCTGTTCTGGATCTGTTTGGTTCAACATGAATCATGAGCATTTCTCACACCTACTCACCCTCTTCACTCAGTGACTGAAAACAAACCGTTGTTTAGTGCACCTACTGCAGCTTCATCTCAGCGGTCAGTTTAAGAAAATCCACCTCAACTTTGCAGGTTTTATCTCATTACTATTTAAAAATTATTATTAGTGAAGCGTTTATTGCTGAATTCATCATTTGTGCTGCACTGACCTGCTTGAGGACGGGCTCTGTCACCAGATTAGAAAGAACCTTCCTAGAAAGTTGATGAGTGCTCACTCCTCCTCTCACAGTCTGTCCAACAGCAGATCATCTGGAACAGAGAACACGTGGCCCATACGGAAAACTGCTCCGCTGCTAACATGGGTTTACCGTGCAATAGGCCGCCGTCTCCACAAACTGCAAGAGAAGCTCCGGTTTTCTTTCTTTTTTCTTTTTTTTGCGAGGTAGTTGACACCGTGTGCTCAGTGGATCCAAGAAGACACAGACATGCCTGTCCAGGTGGAACAAGATCCCAGCATGCTCAGCAAATAACTCAGAGCTCAGCGGCAGGAGCGCTCCGCAGCTGACACCATTTTCTCACAATATCTGTGCTCATTGAATTAAATATTATATATATATATTCTACACAGTTGTGAAAAGTGCATTGTAGCAACTCAGTTGTATTATCTCAGTTTTAATGCAAAATAAAATCCCTTGCAATGGTCAGCATGTCATTTTTGCGTGTGTGTAGTGGATGTACCCTGTCCCATGCTGGGCTTGGAAGGATCAAATATAGCAGCTCAGCTGTCTGCCCTGTACACACACACACACACGCACACACACACACACACACACACACACACACACACACACACACACACACACACACAGTTAAGAGAAGCGAGTCTTGCTGGGAGCATGCCTAACACTTTGTTAGAATATCCCATCAGTGTAAAGTATAGTCTGTCTGTCGGCATTACTGACCTTTGACATAAACACACATCTTGGTGGACAGAACATGCAGACAGTCACTGAGTATGAAATTTAAGACAGCGTAATCACTTCTCAGAATGAGCAGAGCAACACTTGCAAAGAGGCTCTGACCAGGACAGGGGATGTTGTTATGCCACTTCCACACTTTCCTCTCCTATAACTGCTCGTTAACGTGTGTCCATCACATTAAGTCAGGCATTCTAGTTCAAATAGAGCACGTAAGGCCACCTGTGCCATTTGAATTTGGGTTGTTGGTATCTGCCTTTAAATATTTTAACACCAGTTACTTGCACTTGCAGCTGAGTTGTTTCATATTATGCATTCTTGTCCACCAGTAGATACATGTGTAACTGTCTCCCTCTAGCGCTCCCGGACTGAAACAGCACCTTCAGGGAGTAATGGACAGTTCTCACATCCAGCGTCCAAAATTAATCATGTACAAAAACAGGAACTACTGCATATTTATCCAAGCAGTGTATTCATAAAGGATGTATGACAGGTTATTTACATGTAAGGTGGAGCTTTTTTCTTCTCTCTTGTTTTACTTTGTGTCACGTTTGCTGTTAAAATGCTGGCTTTTCATAAAAACATGGCTAAAATTTCAAATAATGAAAATGTTCTGCTCCTGGCTCTATATCATGTGGCGGGGGTGGCAGAGCAGGTCAGCCACTAATCAGAAGGTCGGTGGTTCGATCCCAGGCTGCCTCCTGGCTGCATGCCAAATATCCTTGGGCAAGATACTAACCCCGTGTTTGCCTACTGGTGGTGGTCAGAGGGCCCGGTGGCGCCAGTGTCCGGCAGCCTCGCCTCTGTCAGTGCGCCCCAGGGCAGCTGTGGCTACAATGTAGCTGCCATCACCAGTGTGTGAATGTGTGTGTGACTGAATGTAGTGTGAAGCGCTTTGGGGTCCTTAAGGACTAGAAAAGCGCTATACAAATGCAGGCCATTTACCACATCATGTTTCAGTGAGGGGATGGCCTTATTTTGATGACATGACTATATTGATGGTGTGATCTCAGTCACACAGCTGTGGCTAGGAGAACAAAAATCCCTAAAAGCAGCTGTTCAAAACTTCTGCTTGTAAGAAGCAGCCAATCAAAAGGATGTAGGCCAAACAGAGGCGGAGTTATAACAGCTTGTTTCAGACAGTGGCTGAAACACTGCACTGCTGCACTGACATTTTTAAACCGTAAATAATGCAAACGTGTTTTTTAGTGGCAGTGTTTCATTTAAAGGTTAACAAAACATGTATGACCCAGCATGGCGTAGCCTTGGGGTCCTGGGAGAGAGAAGGACGTCTGTTAAGTCTAATTGTTGAATGTTGTCATTGTAAATCTGAGTTCAAGACATCCCTTTGATCCTGACCACCTTTGGTTTTATTGTAGAAGAAGCTTCTGTTGTAAGCTTCCTGCTTTTATGACCTTTTTGTCAGCAGGAGGTCACACACACACACACACACACACACACACACACACACACACACACACACACACACACACACACACACTCTTGCACATGCATATACGTGCTTACACATACACACACATAGTGCCTTGTCTTAGAAGGGGGTTTTACAGAGGGAGGTGCTTGTGCTGTGATGGGTAGTTTGTCAATAAATAGCTGTGAGGGAAGCTGCTCTTGGAAGGATTTTGGGCTGGAGACAGGAGCGTGGGCTCCAAGAGCTGGTTCTTGACCAAAGCGTCCCTCGTTAGCGAGTGAAAAACCGCTTGAAGATGTTCTGTTATGTCTTGTTTTCTTCATGATGAATAAGTCTCTAAACTAGCCGGGCTTGTGCAAACACAGACCCAACAACGTCATTCATCCTCACAATCTCACAGTGACCAGTTTAGAATCACCAGTTAAACCAACAAACCTGTGTTTGGACTTTGCTGCTAATCACTGCACCAACATGTGACACTGCATCCCAGACAGAAGCATTCAATTTGGTCCAAGTCCTATAAAGTGTCCTCTGTCCCCAGAGACATTTTGGTCTGATGACTCTAAATGAAAAGTTGTGCAGGCACAGAAGGTTGTGTGAACATAGCTGGGACTCCACTAGAGTCCAAGAAAACAAAAAGAAACGGGGGGAAGGCACAGTAGTTCCCCTCTCTGTTTTCACCAATGTTTTTGGACAGTCAGCTCAGGTAATTGAGTTATTTAAAGTGTCTTCTTCTTGATTTGTAGGTCTGTGTGAACCCTGGATGAACGATAGGAAATGGATGGACTGAATCTAATTGCAGTATTATTATATTATGACCGATTTTTTCCCCTCATAATTGCCATTTTCAGCTGCTTCGCTAAGAAGAGTAGCACTCATCTCTAAAGCTCGTTTCGCTCGTCGCTCCCTGCGGTTTACATCGGCTGACACACTCTTTCTAGAAACTACATGTTAATGGACAAACACTCCAGTGACTGTGTCGAGTGCAGTGAATGATGCTGCCTTCACGCTCCCGTCATGGAAAACCTAAGAATTGTAAACACAGATCGTCTTTATAGACAAACAGACATAAAAAACTAAGCAACCAAGTGCGAAGCATCCAGGATTACGGAAGCCGAGATTAATTTTGTTCTGTTCTATTGTACTCACACATACCGACAAAGCACTTCTTTTAAAGCTCGCCTATTCTGTTTGATTCTTTATTGTTGCGCACCGATGTTTCCCCACTGATATTTTATGCGTTGTGCGATTTTGGTGTTTAATTTCTTGTAAGACTGCTATTATTAAAAATATATATATTGTGTAACAACAATGCACAACAATTTTCTCTGTCCTCTGTGGGGAGACGCGACGTCTCACGTGCCATATGCACACGGCTCGCTGCTGAATCCGGTATTTCCGATAGCACACGGTACGTGAACGCAGCATATTACAATAGCCTGTTTGCTTCGGTTCGCTCACGAGCGGCCGGGTGCAGCTCGGCACCGACAGCAGACAGACGCCAGCTGGTTTGCACCGTGTGCACAGCGCCAGAAACACCCCGTGTTCTCCGCAGCAGTTGTTCAACATCATGATGACTATATTGTTTTTATTATAAAAAAAATGAGCAAATGAGGAGTCACACGATATATTACATGTGTTATTATTTTTTAAATGAGCGGTTAGATTTGGATTTAGGATATTTAATGCGGATGTTTACTCCCACGAAATGATCGCACTGTCAAAATAATACCGGCATAGAGTGTATTAGTTTCAATTAATCAAGTATAAGGTTAAGTTTGTTATGAAAATACTGAACGGAAATGTTTTCTGTGAAGAATCTTCGCAGATGCTGAAAAGTTTTTTTGTAATTTTTAAAATAATACTGTTGGTGATCATTCGTGCGCCCATCCACCCAACATCCTCTCATATTAGCCCCAAATGGTTAATATGAGAGTCACTTCCATCCATATAAAACTAAGACGTCCTGATTGGAGACCCGCACTTCATGTAGCCCATTCTGCATGAATCAGTGTTGGTGAGCGTTTGTGACCGTGTGTTCACATCTCCGTGTAGCCTGAAGATGTTCTCCTCTGTTTAAATACATGAATTAATTGCATGATTGAATTTCTCCAGGAGTCACATTCTTATATAATGTTCAGGCAGCAGGCCATAGATCTGGCTATGAGGATCTCTCTGTTCCCGCTGCTGAAAGGTTGGACCATGCCGTGTGCACAAACCTCTTTGTAATCATTAACCACGTGCTTGCGTGTAGCTTGACAGGCGTGTTTTGCACTCGGCTCTGTTGTTCCCAGGACGCTATAAAACAGCCACTCCTACACCGTCATTCACAACATTCACTCAAGTCCCGAAGACACGAGAGCAACGCCAGCATCACTCTGAACGAGCCATCAACTGAGAAATGGACCCCTGCGAGTGCGCCAAGAGTGAGTATTCCTGCCGCTGTTTAACAAGGCTATTTAATGCGCTGCTTGTTACCAGCGGACCACATGAAACTCAACTGACTTTTTTATGTTCAGCTGGAACCTGCAACTGCGGAGGAACCTGCACGTGCACAAAGTGCTCATGCAAGAGCTGTAAGAAGAGTAAGTCTAACACCTCACAGCACAGCAAACCGTAATCTGTCGACCTGTTAATGTTACGCTCCTGTTTATCTTCCCAAGTAACATGCATAGTGTGACGATTGTGTCTTATAGTCATGCGCCATTTCTTCAAAATTCCGCATTTGATGCCATTAAAAAAACAAAATGCGCAGCGGCTCGAATTGCTTTAATGAGATCTGTAGTTTTCTTTGTGTTCTGTCAGTAATGATGTCTGTCACTGCAGGCTGCTGCGACTGCTGCCCATCCGGCTGCAGCAAATGCGCCTCTGGCTGCGTGTGCAAAGGGAAGACGTGCGACACCAGCTGCTGCCAGTGAGGAGTCTGCAGCATCAGCTCTCTGCTGAAATTATGGAGTCATTTATTTGCCACTAATCATAAATTTACACGTCCACAAAATGGTGACGGATGATTTTGTACTTGTCTTTGGGTGTCTGAAATAAACATGTTTATTGACGCTATGACCTGTCTGGTGTATTCAGCTGATGTCATTTCACTCTGGTCACGCTCTGTGGTACTTTGTCTAATGCTGGAATCTCCATCTTGGAATAAGGACTAAAGTTAAATTGACTCATGATTGATACTAAACTGTGTGGCCCACTTAAAAGGCTCTTGCAGGGATGCAAAGAAACTGTTCTCAAATCTAAAGTCGGAACTCCAAATGCATTAGCTGGCGTGTTGGACAAGGTCGGCGCAGTATTAGCATTTGGAAAACGGAAGTTCAGTAACTTGAACTGAACAAAAGCTGCTATAAAATTAGTCCAGAACTGTTACACGTGGCTGTGAGCCAGCAGACTGAAAATGTCTGACCCGTTTAACCAGAAATGGAATTTAAACTTATTAGCCCGTTTGCCTAGTTGAATTTGGGGGGGGGGCAAATACAGTCTCTTGATCCTTTGTCTTTCCCCTCGCCTCCAATCATGGCCTGTTACGTGCTGGCTCAAAGAGGATCCTCCTCTGCTCTGTTACTGTAGCCCAAGGGTGGACCGGTGTCCTGCAGGTTTTAGACGTCCTTGATCCAACACAGCTGGCTTAAATGACCCCCTCAACGTGAGGCCTGGTAATGAACTGAACATTTGATTCAGGTGTGTTGATGACCCAGGGTGAGATCTGAAACCTGCGGGACACCTGCCCTGGAGGTGCTTGCAAAGAGCACTATTGTTGTGAGGTAGTGTTACATACATACGTTTAATCTGTAATAAAGTTGTATTTCTTGGTTTGGGGTTGTAATAAAATCTATATATTTTGAGTTTCGCGGAGCGATCTGTGAAGGCGGAACAAATATTCGGCACTTGGGTTTCTCGCGGGAACAATATCGTCGGTGCACACAGGAACTATTGCGTTGTTTCTATTTTCTGGGCAAGTTTGGCTGTAGCGGTGTTTCTGATCCCGTCCTGGTAGTAAAATACACCCACGCGTGTGAACATGCCGAAGGTGGTTTCCAGGAGCGTCGTGTGCTCGGACACCAGAGACCGGGAGGAGTACGACGACGGAGAGAAGCCCCTCCACGTCTACTACTGCCTGTGCGGCCAGATGGTTCTGGTCCTGGACTGCCAGCTGGAGAAGCTGCCCATGAGACCCCGGGACAAAGCCCGGGTGATCGACGCCGCCAAACACGCTCACAAGTTCTGCAACGTGGAGGAGGACGAAAACACGTACATCAAGAGAGCCGAGGGTATCGAGAGGCAGTACCGCAAGAAGTGCGGCAAATGCGGCCTGCTGCTCTTCTACCAGCACCAGGAGAAGAACAACCCGGCCACCTTCATCGTGGACGGGGCCGTGGTCAAGTTCGGGCAGGGCTTCGGCAACACCAGCGTCTACAGCCAGAAGCAGCCCGAGGCTCCCAAGAAAGTCCGAGTGATGATGACCAAGCGGACCAAAGACATGGGCAAGTTCAGCTCCGTCACCGTCTCCACCATCGACGAGGAGGAGGAGGAGATCGAGGCCAGGGAGGTGGCGGACTCCTATGCCCAGAATGCCAAAGTGATCGAGAAGCAGCTGGAGAGGAAGGGCATGAGCAAGAGGAGGCTGCAGGAGCTGGCTGAGCTGGAGGCCAAGAAGGCCAAGATGAAGGGCACTCTCATTGATAATCAGTTCAAATAGATGGAGTCTGAGGAGGCTCCTGCTCTGCCTGGGACTCGGTGTACAGGACTGATGAGTGTAGCGGTCGTATCATAAGAATGTGATCTGGCCTTTAAATTAGTTTGTCATAATGTTTTGTACATACAGGAAAAGACAAAATAAACATTTTTTTGTTGTTGGTATTTTTAAAAAGTGTTTTGTTGTTGTCGTTATCACCAGCAGAGTGCTTTAAACCTCACAGAAGGCTTCGGCTGTTTGAAAGACTCAGCCCACACGAGGGGGAAAACTTTATTAGCCTGTAGGTAAAGTTGTCACCATCAGTTTTGAGTTGTGTATAATTCAAACCAAATATTTAATTAAAAAATTTAATTTTAAAGCTACAAACACCTCAGAACAATCATCGTTAGTTTTTTTTTTTTTATTATTATTATTATTTTCTTTCGCTCATTTTTATTTGAGCCAGTGAGACTTTTCAGGTTGGGCCTGGCAGCAGGTTAGTAACATGATTAGGCACAAAAAGAGGTCATTCCAGAGAGACTGAAGATAGAGAAGAGGGTTCACTACTGTCAGACTTGTGTGTTCAGAATGGGTGAAACATTTAGGAACAACATTGCCAAGAATCTGGGAAAATCTTTGTAGTCAGTCTAGGTCAAATATGATGATTATCCAACTTGTTATCAGTGCATAGTTCAAAAGAAAGCATCTGTAAAGCTGTGGGAGTGTCCAACTCCAGGCCTCGAGGGCCAGTGTCCAGCAGCTTTCATATGTGTCCTTGATCCAACACAGCTGACTCCAATGGTTAAATGGCCTCCTCAGCATGTCTTGAAGTTCTCCAGAGGCTGGTAATGAACTAATCATGTGATTCGGGTGTGTTGACCCAGGGTGAGATCTAAAACCTGCAGGACACCGGCCCTCGAGGCCTGGAGTTCCCCACCCCTGGATTAGAGCATTCTTCCAAACTCTTCAGGAGAGTTCCTTAAATATCTGATCCCACAGAGGAAATGATTGTGTTGCAGCAGTAGGATAAAAAAAATAAATAACAGAGTTAAGTTAAAGTTCCACAGGCACATGGGGAAGGCCATAAGCTGTCAGATCTTTATTTATAAAACAGAATAAAAAGAAAATAAATACAAGGTTAAGATAAAGAAAAGTAAGACTGACACTGGGCAATAAAGACGTGCAGACTGCATTCACAAATACAGAAATATAAATATGGAGCAGGTCTGTGGACCTGTCACAGAAAGGCTCTGCTGTCTGTGTGGAGCGTGTAAAGCAGGGGTAGGCAACTCCAGGCCTCGAGTGCCGGTGTCCTGCAGGTTTTAGATCGCACCCTGGGTCAACACACCTGAATCAAATGATTAGTTTGTTTCCAGGCCTCTGGAGAACTTCAAGAAATGCTGAGGAGTCATTTAGCCATTTAAATCAGCTGTGATGAATCATGGACACATCTAAAACCTCCAGGACACCGGCACTCGAGGCCTGGGGTTGCCCACCCCTGGTGTAAAGTTTGGTGACTTCTGTCTCTTACTGACTGACACGCCTCCAGATTCTGACCAATGATGGTTCGTGTCTTATGAAGCAGCTTGTTAATACACCATGGCTCCACGATTCAGGTGGTAAACTGACAACAAATGAGGCCTTGAACTGTTGAGGAGCCCAAATGCTAAAAAAAGATCCTGTGATTAATGAGAAGATAGAATAACTGGGGCAGTGTCCAACCAGCACACCAGACTCGATGTAGGCCACAAAATACTAGAAAAGTTAGGAGAACAATGAGTCGCCTGGACTGGATCTCAACGTCCCTGACAGAAGAGCCAAAGTATTTGTGGCTTTGGATGCTGATGGTAATGAAAACAAACAGCTTCAAAATAAATTGGAGACACAACTAAAACCAATAACTTGGCTATATTTGCACTTTTCTTCTGTGGTACAAACTGTTGTTACTGAGATCCAACACAGTATGCTTATCATTTTTATGCTTACTGTGATCTTTGTCACTGATCAATGTGAACTGGGTCTTTTTTCATTTGTCCTCACTGGTTGTTTTTCTCTCTCACATGTGAGTTTTTCCAGTCACGAGGTTAACTGATGATCCCTGGGACCAGCGGAAGACTCGGCATAGCTTCCAGATTTCTGTACTTTTGTATTCAAGAGTAATGCAATCCCTGTGCCTCACTTTCTGTGTCTGCTTTTTGTTGTATAATAGGATCATACATATTGTATTATATAACAAAGTAGCTCAAGGCGACTGTGCGCCACATGACCAGATTTCTCCTGATGAAGCCACAGACTGCAGCTTGGAAGCAGGTGTGGATCACCCATCTGATCTTTGTGATTTAACCTGAAGCCAGTGGTTTTGTCTCAAGGCAGCAGCAAAATTGAGATAAATAAAAATCAAATGATGTCAATAGAGTTTAAATGTATGCCTGTTCCCCACAGACAACAGCTGAATCTTGAGACTATCTAAGACAGGGATAACAATTTAATTTTACACAATGGGTCACATGTGGCCTTTAAGTGAGCTGGACCAGTGACACTTTGCTTTCTGTCACTGTAAAAACGTTTAACTGCACATCGAATTCATGAGATATCTTAACTGAGGTTTCAACTGCGTGTCTTGTTATTTTTTTAGATGATAAAGGACTGCTGCTGCAGCAAATGACTGAAACTTGTCAACATGACTCTATGAGCAAAAGTCTACCTGCCTCTATGCCCACATAGAGGTAGTTCAACTCCATATGAATAGACTGGTTCTTATATAGCACCTTTCTGAGTACTCATAGCACTTTACACAAATTGCCTCATTCACCCATTCATACACTGTTCATGCACTCTTTTTCTATGCTTCTCCTACACAAATTCTATCACATTCATACAAGCAGCTTGGGGTTAGTATCTTGCCCAAGGATATTTTTCACACAGGCTAAAGCAACCTTCCAAATTAGTAGGTGACCTGCTCTACCTCCTGAGCCACAGCCACCCCAAGTAAGCATTACAGTAACAAAACAAGCATTTTAATACTGAAACTTTTGACAAAGAATACTTCTAAAAGCGACTACAGCTTTTCATACTGTACACGTTTCTGCCTATATTTAGAAGAGTTATCCTACTACTTAGTGTTATAATAACAATAATAATAATAATAATGATAATAAATTATGACAGTAGGTGACGATATGCTTCGTTAATATTTGAAACTAGAGAAGAAGAAGAACTTCCGGGAGGGATGCGGGATTGTCCAATCACTATCGACTCCAGAAGTGCCGGTCGGGGCAAATAATGTACTTGCGTGCTGAAGAAACGGAGTAACAGAAGATAACTGTAAATACATTCACGCGTGGAGTATAAACAGGACCGTATTTTCTCCCACCTCACACAACAGGTATGAAGTGTAGTTGCTTCCAGCCGCGTCATCAAAATGAACTTTTTGAGTTAACGCAACACTGAGCATATGTAAGAATAATAGCAGCTTAGCATGCTAGCTAACGTTGCACAGTGTAATTCATTCTGACTTGTAGCTACATGTTAGCATGCTAACGAAGCTTAGCCAAAAGGACAACACTACAATAAAATAAAATGAATTCAAGCATGTTTTATCGTGATTCACATCACGCCACTTCACAGCAGCCGGAATTAAGTTTCATTTGAAACTGTACATTTTTGTTGCTGTTCCTAAAGCGAGTTTATAGCAACTAAGCTAACACCACAGCGCTCCATGCGCGCGCTCCAGGTGTTGCTGTCAACTGTCCGAAAGCTCACAGCTGTATGTCCTTATATACATGGGTGTTTATGTTATTCACAGTTTGTATGTTATCGACTAGGCCTAGTCCTAAACGTGTTTTGTTGTTGTTGTGGCAGTTCTCAGCTATATTACGTCTGAAACGTTTACGTGCTCACTTTACGTTTACTTCTGAATTTGTGTAAATCTCCATCCACGCAGTTGAGGAATTGCAGTACATTTTAACCCAGTCCCTTCTTCTAAGGATTGAAAATGAACAACAAATAATACATACAAAACCTTTAGTCGGTGAGGTACAGTGTTGATTAGGTTTCTAAAATAACAGCAACATATTTATGCAAAATTGTCCAGGCCAATTATACCTTTTTCCCCCCAAAAGGATGTGAGCACCCTAAAATTATAGCTCTCCAAACCACTGTACACTATTCATCTCACCTCTGATGATATTACATGTAAATATCTTCATTTGTTTCTCTATAGCAGCATGGATACAGAGGGATTTGGGGAGCTCCTGCAGCAGGCAGAGCAGCTGGCTGCTGAGACCGAAGCAGTGTCTGAACTTCCTCACGTCGAAAGGAACCTTCAGGAGATCCAGCAGGCGGGGGAGAGGCTTCGATCCCGCACCCTGACCCGCACCTCCCAAGATGCTGCAGACGTAAAAGCGTAAGAAATATAAGATAGAGATTCTTGTGGTTTCTGTTATTGCACAGTGCTATAAGAGTGGAAACAAAAACACTTAGTAGTCACAGAGTGAACCAGCGAACAACAAAATAAAGCTGAACTATAAAATAACAAGATACAACCAAGAACGGTATGAAATATGAACATCAGTATGTGCAGATAGGCAGAAAATGTCCCACTGTTAATCATAATATTACTGCTACTGGCAAAAATGGTAATTGATAACAAATGAATGGTTATCTATGTGTACAAAGTTGTATAAATAAAGTAATTAGATCCCAATACCAGTAAAGTAAGGGACGGGCTATTAGGGAACTAAATTGGTGGTAAACAGTCACACAAGGCATCAGGTCTAATTTTTAAAGATCAACATGAAAAAAAGAGCCTGGGAAGAGTTCCTTTTTATATATAGTGGTAAGAATCCTACTAATAATAATACACGTTTCACAATAACAGACTTAGTATAACAGACAGATTTAGTATAATCTACTGCAATATATTCTCATGTAAATAAAATGTAAAGTATAAAATCATTTTTCATTTGTTTCCCATTAATCTCTATGATAGACACACTCATTTCTAAACTATATGTTTGGTGTTAAAGATTTAAAGAAGATATTCCTTAATCAATAAGCTTAAGTGATATTTAAAGGATTTACTCTATTAGTTTTAAAACTGCATTGATATTAGATTGAAATTCTCTCTGTGATGTATGTGATGACACCTGATCTGATGTGTAACAGTTCACATCAGTGGTTTCTGTAACGGTGGT